TCACGGGTGGGGCTATGAAAGATGAGGTAATCATAGAATTGATAGGGAAAAAGAGTGATGTGACTTTGGGGCTGGGAAACAAAAAACTTGTCCCTTGGGGGCAAAAAGGGAAGTATGAGAGTAAGTTTTACCAAACCCCTTATATGGGGGTGAAGCATGGGTGTGAATGTTTCAGCGAGGAAAAGGCTGGGGGCAGTGGGGGGATTTATGTCTGAGGGCAAAATGGGTGTGAATATAATGCAAAATTCGAGTTTTGGAAGTTAGGGGGAGGGGCGGGGTTACCAAAAAATGTTGTCCAGGGGGCGGGAAGGGTTTTTGAGGTGGTTCGGACATGTAGGGAATGGGGGCGAAACAAAAGACTTCAAGATGTTCATCTGTGTGGAAAGGGAAAGGGGGGTGGGGGCGCCCAGGAAAGGGTTGGGGGAAAGGGGGTAAAGGAGGTTTTGTGTGGAGGAGCTTGGATTCCACAGGTATGCATGAGCGTGTTTGTAGGGTGAAATGGGACAAATGGTTTTTAATACTTGAGTGCTGTTGGTTGAGCAAATAACATTTTTGAAGGGTTTTAGGGAACCGGCAGGCCGACTTGAGTCCTGGAGATGGGAATAAGTGCCTGCACTTGAAGGGGGGGGTTAATTTTTCAGTTTAAAAACGAGGGGAAAGCCCCTTCTGCAAGAAGTGATGGGGTGAATGTGGTGAAAGTTTTTTTTTTTTCGGGGCCCCCCTGCCCGGTGGGGAAACGGGGTGTGAAATAATAAAAAAAAAAATCCTAGTTACACAAATACAGTTACACAGATAATCATACTAAGCTATGTGCAAGGACCTAGATAAACCCCAAAAAGTTAGACTACTTATTTTACTTGGGGCTTTTGTTACCTTATCAATGATATTACATTAATAAAAATCAAATGTGGGAGATAAAAAATATATAAAAATGACACCAAAAAAATAACAGTTATAAAAATAAAGAGAATCAAGAATTTGACATATAAAAAAAATATGAAAACACTAATTATAATAAATTTACTCTGAAAATCAATACAATCTGTTGGGAAATTGCAGGAAATACAAAAAGGGAAAAAATTATAGAATGACTAGAAAAATTATGAATAATCACTGAAAAACAATGAAAAATAAAAGACAATGAACATATATGAGGCATTATGTAGAATGAAAGAGGGTAAAGCAGCTGGAACTGATGGGATCATGACAGAAATGTTAAAAGCAGGGGGGGATATAGTGTTGGAGTAGTTGGTACTTTTGTTTAATAAATGTATGAAAGAGGGGAAGGTACCTAGGGATTGGCAGAGAGCATGTATAGTCCCTTTATATAAACGGAAGGGGGACAAAAGAGATTGTAAAAATTATAGAGAAATAAGTTTACTGAGTATACCAGGAAAAGTGTATGGTAGGGTTATTATTGAAAGAATTAGAGGTAAGACAGAATGTAGGATTGCGGATGAGCAAGGAAGTTTTAGAGTGGGTAGGGGATGTGTAGATCAAGTGTTTACATTGAAACATGTATGTGAACAGTATTTACATAAAGGTAGGGAAGTTTTTATTGCATTTGTGGATTTAGAAACGACATATGATAGAGTGGATAGAGGAGCAATGTGGCAGATGTTACAAGTACATATATGGAACAGGTGCTAAGTTACTAAATGCTGTAAAGAGTTCTTATGAGGATAGTGAGGCTCAGCTTAGGGTGTTTGGAAGAGAGGGAGAATACTTCCCGGTAAAAGTAGGTCTTAGACAGGGATGTGTAATGTCACCATGGTTGTTTAATATATTTATAGATGGGGTTGTAAAAGAAGTAAATGCTAGGGTGTTCGGGAGAGGGGTGGGATTACATTATGGGCAATCAAATACAAAATGGGAATTGACAGTTACTTTTTCTAATGATACTGTGCTTATGGGAGATTCTAAAGAAAAATTGCAAAGGTTAGTAGACGAGTTTTCAGATATTTGGGAGTTGACGTGTCACTGGATGGATTTATGAAGGATGAGGTTAATCATAGAATTGATGAAGGAAAAAAAGGCGAGTGGTGCGTTGAGGTATATGTGGAGACAAAAAACGTTATCTATGGAGGGAAAGAAGGGAATGTATGAAAGTATAGTAGTACCAACACTTTTATATGGGTGTGAAGCTTGGGTGGTAAATGCAGCAGCGAGGAGACGGTTGAAGGCATTGGAGATGTCCTGTCTAAGGGCAATGTGTGGTGTGAATATTATGCAGAAAATTCAGTGTGGAAATTAGAAGAAGGTGTGGAGTTAATAAAAGTATTAGTCAGGGGGCTGAAGAGGGGATGTTGAGGTGGTTTGGTCATTTAGAAAGAATGGATCAAAGTAGAATAACATGGGGAGCGTATAAATCTGTAGGGGAAGATTTAGATTTTGCCACCGAAGTGGCTAGTTTATTGTGCACCCCATATCCATCCTGTGGACGGTAGCGCGAGAGCATATGGATACACAAAAGGCCTAGGAACTAGGCCCCAAAGGGTTAACAGGAATACATATGGATTTATATCTACATATCTATAGTTCACTTATCTGTTACAAGCAAATTTAGGAAATTTGCTTAGTATATCTGGTATCTTATTTTCATTAATAAGATATCTTGACATGTCACATAGGTTATTATACTGTCTGTCTCTGTATTCCTCAATAAGTGGACAATTAAGCACATAGTGTTCAAGAGAGTGACCATATGCCTGATCACATAATTTACATTTAGTTTGATCATCATCTGTGTGTCTCCCAAACTGCCAGAAGTACTTGTAACCAAGCCTAAGCCTGGCCACTACAACATCAGTCAGTCTGTTCACATTGCAAGTTGCTCCATAAACATACTTATCTACGTTCATGTTATCATAGTGGGTTATAGATCTACTCAGGCTTCTAACTGCATTCCTATAACAATCATTTTCATTATTTACTTCTCTCCTAATATTATTCCTAATGCTAGACACAGTTATACCAAAGTTATATTCTACATTCTCCTTCTCGATACTCTTCTTGGCTAACATATCAACTTTATCATGAAGGAGTAATCCAATGTAGGGAAGGAAGGCGGGGTAGGGGTCGTTCTCGAAAAGGTTGGAGGGAGGGGGTAAAGGAGGTTTTGTAGGCAAGGGGCTTGGACTTCCAGCAAGCGTGCGGGAGCATGTCATATAGGAGTGAATGGAGACGTATGGTATTTGGGACCTGACGAGCTGTTGGAGTGTGAGCAGGGTAATATTTAGTGAAGGGATTCAGGGAAACCGGTTATTTTTATATAGCTGGACTTGAGTCCTGGAAATGGGAAGTACAATGCCTGCACTTTAAAGGAGGGGTTTGGGATATTGCCAGTTTGGAGGGATATGTTGTGTATCTTTATACGTATATTTTTTTTGAACTGTTGTATTCTGAGCACCTCTGCAAAAACAGTGATAATGTGTGAGTGTGGTGAAAGTGTTGAATGACGACTTGTTGAAAAAAAAAATTATATATATATATACAGTATATATAATATATACATACATATATATATATATATATATATATATATATATATATATATATATATATATATATATATATATATATATATATATATATATATATTGGTAGGTACTTGTCCCTCCTTGGTGGGACAGCCAGACAGCAGTAATCTACACATATGCTGCTACGTATTTATTTATTTTTTATCTGGACATGATACATAGTTGTACAAAGAAATATAGTGATTGGGTGTACATGCCAAAAGCCCCTTGTATGCAGAGCATACTTAAGATTAACTAAGCAATGATATATTCAGTGGTAAAAATTACAGTAAACAAATTACAACATGAAGTACAAATGAGATTTCAAATAAGAAGCATTTAAAGTTGTACAAATTTGTAGCATAACAATGTATAATATAATCGAATCAGATCGAGTAAAATCAATGATTTGTAGTGTTGAAACAGGTCATATGGTCATTAGATAATTTACTGTGCATTCAAGAGAATGGAGTATTGTATTAGGTAATGTAATTAAAAAAACAGTTTAATAGGGTCACAGGTTATACATTTATAAGATTCAGTATGATACAATTTATGTAACTATTTATGTGTACCTGTACAAACTTATTTACTTAATTAGAGCCTTAGCTGGACACATGAAATTGCCCCTAACCATCAGTGGAACTCAACATCATGCTCAAATAACTAGTCAAATATTCCCAACTCCCAGAAGGAGCGAGATCGAGACATGAATTATGGTTGGTGGCCCGTGGCCTGGTGGGTCAAGCTCTCGCTTCACACGCTGAGGTCCAGGTTCGAATGTCAAGGAAGGTGAAAACACTGGACGTATTTCCTTACACCGGTTGTCTATGTTCACCCATCAGTAAAATGGTTACCTGGGTGTTAGTCGACTGGTGTGGGTCGCACCCTGGGACAAAATTGACCTAATTTGCCAGAAATGCTCTGCATAACAAATGGCTTTCTATATAGTAGTATGGCACTGATGCCTTGTACATGTACTTGTAGAAATAAAGATATTATTAGTAGTAGTAGTAGTAGTATATACTCAACAGTGGCTAGTTCCCTCGTAAGTTACAATAATGACTGTTTGCAGTTACTTTCAACAACTAATAAAGAAAACTGTTACTAGATATGGCAAAATTCATAAGTAAAAAGGTCTTAGAATGAATCAGTTTTTAACTTTCTTGAAGCACGTTTAAATACAACAAATAATAATAATAATAATAATAATAATAATAATAATAATAATAATAATAATAATAATAATAATAATAATAATAATAATAAAATATGAAGACGCTTATTATTGTGCACAACATTCGTCCTTAAGTGTTTCATTAACTTTAATGTGTAATAATAGTTGTTAAGTGTGAACTTTCTACATTGTGCTCAATCGCAACAGACATTATTTAACATAGTTACCTAAATTATTAAAAATATATCCTGACATTTCTTATAATAATAATAAACAAATGTAGAGTGGAGAGTGAAGACGAGGTCGGTGAGAGGAAACGTAGTAGATCAACAAACATGGCGGGTTGTACTGACACGCTGACTCTCTCCAGGATCTTAACTGATAAATGCAAAGACAAACACTTCACTAAGTCTTCACGTTATCGTTTGTTAGACAGCGTTGATGATGTTATTATTGCGTGGAGCAAGGAAGATGGGTGTCTGCTCTCTCAGCTCATTATACCTAACTGTAAAGTACAGGTAGTAGTCTCAGGCGTTAGATGTAATTGGTATGATTGAAGTTTGAAGCTTATTACCCCATGTTCTTCCCTTCATGTGGGGGAAGCTGCCTTGACGGTGCTGATGAGCTCTTGATCAGTGGGATTGGTGCTACCTTCCCCTTTGAATCAAACATTTTCATTTTCCTTTCCCAGGAACTGTATGATCCCTATGGGTTTAGTTCTTCCCAGTGACTGGTAATACTTCTTCGAAGAAGTAGATAAATGTGCAGTAACACCTACATAATAAAGATATCCAGGTGTTGGTCAGGTACCGACTTAAGGTGTCTGACCAGCTCCTTGAAGAAAGCCAGGGGTCTGTTGGTAATCCCCCTTATTTATGCTGGGGGGCAGTTGAACAGTCTTGGGCCTCTGACACTTACTGTGTTATCTCTTAGCGTACTCATGGCGCCCCTGCTTTTCATTGGGGGGATGTTGCACCACCTGTCAAGTCTTTTGCTTTCTTAGGGAATGATTTTGGTGTGTAGATTTGGGACTAGGCCTCCCTAGGATTTTCCAAGTGTATATTATCGTATTTTTTCTCACCAGCATTCCAGGGAGTATAGACAAATAACCCGCACATTAAAGAGAGAAGCTTACGACGATGTTTCGGTCCGACTTGGACCGTTTGGACTTTGTAAATGGTCCAAGTCGGACCGAAACGTCATCGTAAGCTTCTCTCTTTTATGTGCGGGTTATTTGTGTATCGTTCCAGTCACGGTATTGTGCCTTTTTTTGTTATTCAGGGAGTATAGGTCAGTGGCCTTCAACCATTTCCAGTAATTTAGATGCTTTATGGTACTGATACATGCAGTAAAGGTTCTCTATATATTCTCCAGGTCTTCAATTTCACCTGCCTTGAAAGGGGCCATTAGTGATAAGATAAGATTTCGTTCAGATTTTTAACCCCGGAGGGTTAGCCACCCAGGATAACCCAAGAAAGTCAGTGCGTCATCGAGGACTGTAACTTATTTCCATTGGGGTCCTCAAATCTTGTCCCCCAGGATGCGACCCACACCAGTCGACTAGCACCCAGGTACCTAATTGCTGCTAGGTGAACAGGACAATAGGTGTAAGGAAACGTGTCGAAATGTTTCCACCCGCCGGGAATCGAACCCGGGCCCTCCGTGTGTGAAGCGGGAGCTTTAGCCACCAGGCCACCGAGCAGTATTTCAGCCTAGACAGTACAAGTGATTTGAAATGAATCATCATTGGCTTGGCATCTCTAGTTTTGAATGTTCTCATTATCCATCCTATCATTTTCCTAGCAGATGTGGTAGATACATTGTTGTGATCTTTGAAAGTGAGATGTTTTGACATTATCACTCCCAGGTCTTTCACATTAGTTTTTTGCTCTATTGTGTGATTGGAATTTGTTTTATACTCCAGTCCAGCTTTTATTTCCTTGAGTTTTCCATAGTGGATTAATTGAAATTTATCTTCGTTGAACTGCAGTGTCTTCAATGGATGACACTCGTGTAAACTCTGGTAACGTTAGCAAAGGACGACACGGTGCTGTGGCTTACATTTCTATATCAGACATGAGGATGAGGAAAATGTTGGTACCTTATGGAACAGAGCTTTCACTGTAGCTTCCTCCGACTTTACTGTTTACTATTATTCTTTGTGTTCTATTTGTTAGGAAGTTATAGATCCATCTACAGTGGACCCCCGGATTGTGACAATCCGTTCCAGAGAGAGTGTCTTATACCAAATCTGTCGTAATCCGAATTAATTTTCCCCCTAAGAAATAATGGAACCCAAAAGTATTAAACAAAATAATTTTTTTTACATAAATTTTACATTTCCCTACACAGAAAACAGTGAGACATGCAGAATAAATAAATAATAAAATGACACTTACCTTTATTGAAGACTTACTGATGAGTGATGAGATGGTAGGAGGGGAGAGGATGGAGGTGTACTAGTGTTTGGAAGGAAAATCCCCTTCCATAAAGACTTCAGGTACCAAGTCTTATCTGGGGTTACTTGACTTCTTTGTTTTTTAATGCCACTAGGACCAGCTTCTGAGTCACTGGACCCCTGTCACACAAAATATCTATCCAGAGAGCTCTGTTTCTGGCATCTCTAAGATTTCCCTAAAATGAGACACAGCATTGTCATTGTAGATGTTGCCAGCATGGTCGGCAACAGCTGTGTCAGGGTGATGTTCATCCATAAATATTTGCACATAAGAAAGCAGGCACACTGCAGCAGTCCCAATTAGATCAAATTGTGTGTGTGGGGAAATACCCTGGGTGGTTTGTGGGGAAGTACCCTGGGTGGTTTGTGGGGAAGTACCCTGGCTGGTTTGTGGGGAAGTACCCTGGCTGGTTTGTGGGGAAGTACCCTGGCTGGGCTGGTGTGTGGGGACGTACCCTGGAAGTACCCTCTACCATCACCACTTTCGTATCTTTCTACAAACTTTTTCTTGAATTCTGTAGTGTTTCTCACCCTCTTTATCAAAGGGCTGGCATTAGAAGCTTTCTTTGGGCCCATGGTGGCTTATTTAGCAGTTACAAGCACTAAAAACAATTGAATAATACAAAATGTATCCCATGTATGCATAGAATTGTCCTCACTGGCTTGTAAACAATGGCACACTGGCTGTACATGGAGTGTCCGGGTCGCTCATGCCACGCGGATGTGTTCGGGGCGAATGACTTTAACCGAGTTCTTTGTCATTAACCGAGCCAATATTTTGACGCAAAAACTTTACTTAATCCAGTTTTTACGTAATCCGATGAAGTAATCCTGGGGTCCGCTGTACCTACTTTTCCTGTTATTCCTTTATAATGCATTTTGTGTGCTATTACGCCATGAAAGCACTTGTCAAAGGCTCTCACAAAGTCTGTGTAAACAACATCCAGATTTTGATTATTCTCCAATGCATCCAAGACCATGTCGTAGTGAGAGGCAAGAGTGACCTGCTCTAAATCCTGGGTTGTGAAATTGATGGGTCTCCAAGTGGTTGGCAATCTTGCTTCTTAGAACTCTTTCAAAGATTTTTTATGATGTGGGATGTTAGTGCTATCTGTCTGTAATTTTTGGTAATTGCTTTACTGCTCTCCTTGTGGAGTGGGGCTGTGCCTGTTGTTTTTAGTGACTGGGATGACCCCTGTGTCCATGCTTCATCTCAATAGAATAGTGCATGTGAAAGGGGCTTCTCTCAGTTCTCGACGAACACTGAGTTCCACAAGTCTGGGCATGGGGTAGAGTGCATGGGTATGTCATTTATTGATTTTTCTAAGTCTTGTCGTGTTAGAATTATATCAGAACTTTTTGAATTGACCAAATTTTGAGTCTCTGTGATACCTTTGACGAGTTTCGAGAACCTTGCTACTCTCAGAGCCTGCCCATAGGCCAGGCTCATCTGGTGCTTGCCTGGTCAACCAGGCTGTTGCTGTTGGAGGCCTGCTGCCTCACATATCCATCACAGCCTGGTTGATCTGGCACCTGGTGAAGATACTTGTCCAGTTTCCTCTTGAAGGCTTCTACACTTGTTCAAGCCATGTTTCTGATATTTTATGTTTTTTTTATTTTATTATTAACACACTGGCCGATTCCCACCAAGGCACGGTGGCCCGAAAAAGAAAAACTTTCACCATCATTCACTCCATCAGTCTTGCCAGAAGGGTGCTTTACACTACAGTTTTTAAACTGCAACATTAACACCCCTCCTTCAGAGTGCAGGCACTGTACTTCCCATCTCCAGGACTCAAGTCCGGCCTGCCGGTTTCCCTGAACCCCTTCATAAATGTTACTTTGCTCACACTCCAACAGCACGTCAAGTATTAAAAACCATTTGTCTCCATTCACTCCTATCAAACACGCTCACGCATGCCTGCTGGAAGTCCAAGCCCCTCGCACACAAAACCTCCTTTACCCCCTCCCTCCTACCTTTCCTAGGCTGACCCCTACCCCGCCTTCCTTCCACTACAGACTGATACTCTCTTGAAGTCATTCTGTTTTGCTCCATTCTCTCTACATGTCTGAACCACCTCAACAACCCTTCCTCAGCCCTCTGGACAACAGTTTTGGTAATCCCGCACCTCCTCCTAACTTCCAAACTACGAATTCTCTGCATTATATTCACACCACACATTGCCCTCAGGTGACATCTCCACTGCCTCCAGCCTTCTCCTCGCTGCAACATTCATCACCCATGCTTCACACTCATATAAGAGCGTTGGTAAAACTATACTCTCATACATTCCCCTCTTTGCTTCCAAGGACAAAGTTCTTTGTCTCCATAGACTCCTAAGTGCACCGCTCACCCTTTTCCCCTCATCAGTTCTATGATTCACCTCATCTTTCATAGACCCATCCGCTGACACGTCCACTCCCAAATATCTGAATACATTCACCTCCTCCATACTCTCTCCCTCCAATCTGATATCCAATCTTTCATCACCTAATCTTTTTGTTATCCTCATAACCTTACTCTTTCCTGTATTCACTTTTAATTTTCTTCTTTTGCATACTCTACCAAATTCATCCACCAACCTCTGCAACTTCTCTTCAGAATCTCCCAAGAGCGCAGTGTCATCAGCAAAGAGCAACTGTGACAACTCCCACTTTATGTGTGATTCTTTATCTTTTAACTCCACGCCTCTTGCCAAGACCCATTTACTTGCCATTTACTTCTCTTACAACCCCATCTATAAATATATTAAACAATCACGATGACATCACACATCCTTGTCTAAGGCCTACTTTTACTGGGAAATAATCTCCCTCTTTCCTACATACTCTAACTTGAGCCTCACTATCCTCGTAAAAACTCTTCACTGCTTTCAGTAACTTACCTCCTACACCATACACCTGCAACATCTGCCACATTGCCCCCCTATCCACCCTGTCATATGCCTTTTCCAAATCCATAAATGCCACAAAAACCTCTTTAGCCTTATCTAAATACTGTTCACTTATATGTTTCACTGTAAACACCTGGTCCACACACCCCCTACCTTTCCTAAAGCC